GTCTTAACTGTACCAGCTATAACTTGAAGTCTTATGGATCTAGAGCTTCTGCTGTCGCCTCGCCACAACTCTGGAACGACTTACCAATATATATCAGAAAATCAGACAATCTTCAAATTTTCAAAACTCGGCTTAAAACTCATTTACTTAAGGAGGTCTTTTTGAAATAATTATTGAATTCTATTGATTCTTGTTTTATTTTATTTTTAATATTATTCTATTTTAATCATATAACTTGTAAAGCGCCTAGATCTCATGCTTAGATAGGCGCTATAAAAATACTACTTATTATTATCATTAAAATGCAGACTGAGGGTAAAATACAGACTGCAGACTACAGACTTTTTAAGTGTATGTCTTAATATTTCCACTATCGAGAGCTGACAGTAAAGTATTATTCAGGCTAATCACACAGAAAGACTGCACTCCGTTGAGCCTGATTATCACTCTAGTTAGCCTGAATATCACTTAGGTTAGCCTGAATATCACTCAGGTTAACCTAAATAATGCTTGAGTTAGCTTGTTTATGGTTATCTCCCAATGATGGAAATGGTAGGTAAACACAATTCAGTTAAAAAGTCTACAGACTGCAGTCTTCATTTTACGCCCAGTCTACATTTTACCTTGAAGGGGGGCTCCCATTTAAAAAGGACGGGGGTGTACATCAGAAATTTTGAAGAGAACCCCCTATATTCTAAGACAACACATTATCTCCTGTCATATATTTTTGGCTAAATATCCTTAAAGGTACCACAAAAGCTGCTGCCATGAACCTTTTGAGGCTGAACACCCTAAGAGCTACCAAAACCACCTTACAGCTGTAGGTATGGCAAGCACCCCATCCTTTTTACATAGGAGTCCCCCTCTGCATGTTACTGCCAGTCTGCAATCCACAGTCCACAGTCTGTGTGTTACACTGACCGATAACTCATAGGGGTAGAAAACTGAACTCAGTCATTACTTTTCATGCCACATCATTCTTATCAAATATGCTGCAACATCATCATTCTCCATTGTCAATGCCAACTCAACTGGTAGTAAACCTCGCTTCTCAGGTTTAAGCAGCGTTTCTGTTTCCAGAGCCAACAAGCAAGGACATTTTTTCACAAGTGTTTTAGTGACATGAAGAAAGTCAAGCTCAGCTGCATAGTGCATCAATGTCTTCTTTGTCTTATCTTCGTCATCTCTGAACTTCTCATATCTATTGTCTGCATTGAGTTCACTCTTTAATAGGATCTCCAAAAATCTATTAATCTGCAAGAAACCACATGTCAAGGTAGTTTATTACTTACTGCTAATTAATCACTAAATGCAAATATTATTGTGAAAAAACTGTTCTTTCAAATTGAGGAAAATAGATTAGAAAATTAGCATTAAAACTCTTAAGCTACACAAGATTACATGCAGTGGTCAGAGGATTAGTAAACAAGTTAACAAGAAGTGAATGAGAGATGGAGTGAAAACACCCAACAAATAACCAGTAAAAATGACCGTGTTTCAAAAGCAAAGAAAGTCTGATATGTACAAGTCTAGGGTTAGTGGAGTTTCCAGTCCTTCACTAGCCCATTCTTTCTCAGTGACTCGCATTCATCATACTCAGTCAATTTATGCAGAACTTATGAACTTATCATAAGAATTATCATTGATAAGAAATAATCTTACATGTCACTACATACAACTGCCAATAGGGCTCAAAGGGTTAACTGATAAAATTATCCAACAATTGTTCAGATTTCTTCCTGCTGTGATTTCAGTTTTAACATGCAATAAAATAAAATATACAGATTTAGCCAAGCCTAAAAGTAGAGCACCTGATTCTATAAACTAAAATATGATTTTGAGACAGCAAAATCACATTATATTGGCGGCTAGCTGGATGAGAATATATTCTGGTATTGGGCTCCATCGCTTTGCAACTCCTCCCAATACCAGTATATATTTTCTCCCAACTAGCTGCCAATATACTGTGGTATTGCGGTCTCAAAATCGCATTTAGTTTTTTATCAGGATTTAACCATTCTTTGAGAATACTAAACAAATAGAAAAACATGACACTCCTTTTGATTAAAACGTAAAAGCCTAGTACGCACGAAGAATTGCCAATGATACCGGCACACAATGAAGTCTCTTTACAGATGAGTTTATACTTGAATATTTCAACTTTTACACCATAAATTCCTTTTAGAAACTGAAGAAATTCATTCATCGTATGAAAGTGAAGTTTCCAAAGTATTGAGCAAAGAAAAAGCCCAAGAATTTAGCCAAATTTATCTTTATTCAAGCTAAAAAACTTTTCAAACAATGGTTTTGTCATCTCACGTGAGTTACTCTTAGTAACTCATGTGGTAACTCACAAACCAATGACTTTGAGTGATTAAAAACAGTTACTTGCCTTCATCCTTTGCACAAAGCTCCCTTTTACATGAAATTATTCGTAGAGATTATGGTGTAGGCAGTAAAAGTTGTCTGAACGGTGCAAATGGCAATAAGTGAAAGATTAGCCACAATCGTTGTAAAGTTCTGAACAAGTCATGAAATTTGAAGCGTACGCGAGGAACCTATTTCAGTTCTACGTTGTCATGACAAGTTTTCAACCAATCACGTACGGTTAAGTGCCTGGACAGCGGTCAACTTCACAAAAACATGTCACCTCAATGAGCTCTAAACATGAGCCTGCGATATGGTCATGTGATACTGGTCAGCGGATACCTTGTTTTGACAGGTGTCAACTGAACACAACATGGATGCTCAATATCAAAGATGTATGCTGTAAGCCCACCCCTCCCAGATTGTTGCAGAGTGACATTTCACATTGATTTATATGAAGGGGGTGTACAGACGTATGTACAGAAGTACATACCTACGGACAATTTTTTAAGATCAATGGGTTACCAAATTTTCTAAGATATGGCGATTCCACTTGCGTGCCTTTGGCATGCAGGAGCTCCACTATAAGGATGTAATTCTATATGTATACATACCAGTTGTTCAAGCCCTGGAAGGCGATCTGAATTATATCGATACTGTTTTGATGCTGGCCACTTTTTTAACATCACAAGAGCAGGGTCTTCACTGGCTAGCTCATCATTGTCTTTGTATTTTTGGATCAGCCTTTCAACTCGCACTTCATCCATGGCTCTGTTCCATGACATTCCTTCACTTCTCTTTTGTTGAACCTAACAATTTTATGTTAGTGTGTCTCAATGTTTTTCACAAGACAAACCTTTGACACTTTTCTATCTTATCAGTTTTCAATTTTTGTCTTCTTCTGACTTATTATATCCATTAAAGTGTCACACATCAACCAGGGAGAACAATTTATTTTGGTTTGTTCATCGTAAACATTTGTCTAAATGTTAGGCTGTTGTGTTCAAGAGAGTAGAAAGCAAAACTGAAGAAATATTTTTAGTTTTAATGAATGGTAAACGTCATAGCATACACTATTGAGTTACGTATGCATGTGGGAGGTTGCTAAGCACAAAAGAAGCACAAGAGTTGCTTGAGGCAATAGCCAAATGCGAATCTAGCTTTTTGCGTGCTTAGCAAACCTCCCAAGTGCATCCATAACTCAATAGCGTACAGCTGTGGCATTCACCATTTGTACCATTTTGAGGTACATGATATAAGCACAAACGTAGGCAGCATACACTCATGGGCAAATAGTAGACAATGAATAAACCAATCAGAGTATGCACTTCGCTTTAGTTATGTTAGAATTAACATTTTTATACTACCGTGGGTACTGGGTAGGTCTAGGTAGAGTCTGCTCGGCAACTTTTGAGCAACTTTTACGATTTTGAGCAACTTTTTCAATGCTTAGCAACTTTTCGGAGAGTGAGCAACTTTACAGCATCCTTTCTAAAAACTAGCATATTTTTTGCATATTTTCACTATTCGAAGTCACATTCATAAGTAATTGATATTTTAACACGTTTTCTTTGGAAACTCACAAGAAGTTCACTGGAAACTCTCTTGCGTTTTTATCGGTATCTTGTGTTGATAGATTCCAAATATGGATATGCTGGATGTAACTCCATTTCCAGAATGGGTATTCTGTGTTACTTAATATTCCAAATATGGCACAACTAGCTCAAAAATGGCGGATGGCAAGGCGCTTTCTTCTGACAATGAAGAATCCAATGAAGAACAACATCAGAGAAATCCAATCCAGGTTGCAATTGAAAATGGTGCAGAGCTTTCGAAGCCTGAAAGGGCTTCCATCTTCCGAAAGCGTAAATTAGTTGAGAATAATGGCAAATACAAGTCAAGTCGGATGCAAAAGTTGATGAGCACATCCTCTGTTTATGACCAAATCAAGGAATATCCTGGTCAGCATCTCATGTATGTGTGTCAGTGGCCAGTTGTGGTGCAAAGCGTGTCACGAAACCCTTGCAGTCAAGAAAAGTACTGTTCAGAAACATGTGGAGTCCAAAAAACACCAAAACACAGACAACTATAAAAAATTTTTAAGCAACTTTTGCGATTTTAAGCAACTTTTGAGCAACTGTTGGGGATATTTTTAAGCAACCTTTTAACATTTTTTGAGCAGACTCTATCTAGGCCTAGTACTGGGAAATGTTACCCTATAACAATATGTCTGTTTCTGGTTAAATAATCAAATTATAATTTACCTCATATCAATATCACACATTGATGACAATCCAAACTCGGTATTCAAATTCTTAAATAACATATTAAAAAAATCATAAAAGTTTGATACCTTAATCCA